TGTGAAAATGGTGAATAAATATACTATCTAACCTCAATATATAGTTTTAATTATTACGAACGTATGTGAAATATATGTCGTTAACTAATAGTCTTTTAACTTAGTTTCTTAGTGATGAAGTAACCTAAAATTTGGTGATGGATAAGAAGAATAATATTAAAATTGTTTACATCTATTATACCATAATACAATGTGAATATGGTGAATAAATTTAGTATCTAACCTCAATATATAGTTTTAATTATTACGAACGTATATGAAATATATGTCATTAACTAATAGTCTTCTAACTTGTTTCTTAGTGATGAAGTAAACTAAAATTTGGTGTTGGATAAGAAGAATAATATTGAAATTGTTTACATCTATTATACCATAATACCATGTGAATATGGTGAATAAATTTACTATCTAACCTCATTATATAGTTTTAATTATTATGAACGTATAGGAAATATAAGTCATAATTTAATAGTCTTTTAACTTGGTTTCATAGTGATGAAGTAACCTAAAATTTGGTGATGGATAAGAAGAATAATATTGAAATTGTTTACATCTATTGTACCATAATACAGTGTGAATATGGTGGATAAATTTACCATCTAACCTCATTATATAGTTTTATTTATTACGAACGTATATGAAATATATGTCATTAACTATAGTCTTTTAACTTAGTTTCTTAGTGATGAAGTAACCTAAAATTTGGTGATGGATAAGAAGAATAATATTAAAATTGTTTACATCTATTATACCATAATACAATGTGAATATGGTGAATAAATTTACTATCTAACCTCAATATATAGTTTTAATTATTACGAACGTATATGAAATATATGTCATTAACTATAGTCTTTTAACTTAGTTTCTTAGTGATGAAGTAACCTAAAATTTGGTGATGGATAAAAAGAATAATATTAAAATTGTTTACATCTATTATACCATAATACAATGTGAATATGGTGAATAAATTTACTATCTAACCTCAATATATAGTTTTAATTATTACGAACGTATATGAAATATATGTCATTAACTAATAGTCTTTTAACTTGTTTCTTAGTGATGAAGTAAACTAAAATTTGGTGATGGATAAGAAGAATAATATTGAAATTGTTTACATCTATTATACCATAATACAATGTGAATATGGTGAATAAATATACTATCTAGCCTCATTATATAGTTTTAATTATTACGAACGTATATGAAATATATGTCATTAATTAATTGTCTTTTAACTTAGTTTCTTAGTGATGAAGTAACCTAAAATTTGGTGATGAATAAGAAGAATAATATTGAAATTGTTTACATCTATTATACCATAATACAATATGAATATGGTGAATAGATTTACTATCTAACCACAATATATAGTTTTAATTATTACGAACGTATATGAAATATATGTCATTAGTTAATAGTCTTTTAACTTAGTTTCTTAGTGATGAAGTAACCTAAAATTTGGTGATGGATAAGAAGAATAATATTGAAATTGTTTACATCTATTATACCACAATACAATGTGAATATGGTGAATAAATTTACTATATAACCTCAATATATAGTTTTAATTATTACGAACGTATATGAAATATATGTCATTAGTTAATAGTTTTTTAACTTGTTTCTTAGTGATGAAGTAAACTAAAATTTGGTGATGGATAAGAAGAATAATATTGAAATTGTTTACATCTATTATACCATCATACCATGTGAATATGGTGAATAAATATACTATTTAGCCTCGTTATATAGTTTTAATTATTACGAACTTATATGAAATATATGTCATTAATTAATAGTCTTTTAACTTAGTTTCTTAGTGATAAAGTAACCTAAAATTTGGTGATGGATAAGAAAAATAATATTGAAATTGTTTACATCTATTATACCATAATACAATGTGAATATGGTGAATAAATTAACTATCTTACCTCATTATATAGTTCTAATTATTTTGAACGTATATGAAATATATGTCCTTAATTAATTGTCTTTTAACTTAGTTTCTTAGTGATAAAGTAACCAAAAATTTGGTGATGAATAAGAAGAATAAAATTGAAATTGTTTACATCTTTTATACCATAATTCGATGTGAATATGGTGAATAAATATAATTTCTAGCCTCATTATATAGTTTTAATTATTACGAACGTATATGAAATATATGTCGTTAATTTTATGTCTTTTAACTTAGTTTTTTAGTGATGAAGTAACCTAAAATTTGGTGATGGATAAGAAGAATAATATTGAAATTGTTTACATCTATTATACAATAATACAATGTGAATATGGTGAATAAATTTACTATCTAACCTCAATATATAGTTTTAATTATTACGAACGTATATGAAATATATGTCATTAACTAATAGTCTTTTAACTTGTTTCTTAGTGATGAAGTAAACTAAAATTTGGTGATGGATAAGAAGAATAATATTGAAATTGTTTACATCTATTATACCATAATACAATGTGAATATGGTGAATAAATTTACTATCTAACCTCATTATATAGTTTTAATTATTATGAACGTATATGAAATATAAGTCATAAATTAATACTCTTTTAACTTTGTTTCATAGTGATGAAGTAACCTAAATTTTGCTGATGGATAAGAAGAATAATATTGAAATAATTTACATCTATTATACCATAATACAATGTGAATATGGTGAATAAATTTACTATCTAACCTCATGATATAGTTTTAATTATTACAAACGTATATGTAATATATGTCATAAATTCACAGTCTTTTAACTTTGTATCTTAGTGATGAAGTAACCTAAAATTTGGTGATGGATAAGAAAAATAATATTGAAATTGTTTACATCTATTATACCATAATACAATGTGAATATGGTGAATAAATTTACTATCTAACCTTATTATATAGTTTTATTTATTACGAACGTATATGAAATATATGTCATTAACTATAGTCTTTTAACTTAGTTTCTTAGTGATGAAGTAACCTAAAATTTGGTGATGGATAAGAAGAATAATATTAAAATTGTTTACATCTATTATACCATAATACAATGTGAATATGGTGAATAAATTTACTATCTAACCTCAATATATAGTTTTAATTATTACGAACGTATATGAAATATATGTCATTAACTAATAGTCTTTTAACTTGTTTCTTAGTGATGAAGTAAACTAAAATTTGGTGATGGATAAGAAGAATAATATTGAAATTGTTTACATCTATTATACCATAATACCATGTGAATATGGTGAATAAAGTTACTATCTAACCTCATTATATAGTTTTAATTATTATGAACGTATAGGAAATATATGTCATTAACTAATAGTATTTTAACTTAGTTTCTTAGTGATGAAGTAAACTAAAATTTGGTGATGGATAAAGAGAATAATATTGAAATTTCTTACATCTATTATACCATAATACAATGTGAATATGGTGAATAAATTTACTATCTAACCTCATTATATAGTTTTAATTATTACGAACATATATGAAATATAAGTCATAAATTAATAGTCTTTTAACTTAGTTTCTTAGTGATGAAGTAATTACCTAAATTTTGGTGATGGATAAGAAGAATAATTTTGAAATTGTTTACATCTATTATACCCGAATACAATGTGAATATGGTGAATAAATATACTATTTAGCCTCATTATATAGTTTTAATTATTACGAACGTATATGAAATATATGTTATTAATTAATAGTCTTTTAACTTAGTTTGTTAGTGATGAAGTAACCCAAAATTTGGTGATGGATAAGAAGAATAATATTTAAATTGTTTACATCTATTATACCATAATGCAATGTGAATATGCTGAATAAATATACTATCTAACCTCAATATATAGTTTTAATTATTACGAACGTATGTGAAATATATGTCGTTAACTAATAGTCTTTTAACTTAGTTTCTTAGTGATGAAGTAACCTAAAATTTTGTGATGGATAAAAAGAATAATATTGAAATTGTTTACATCTATTACACCATAATACAATGTGAATATGGTGAATAAATATTATTTCTAGCCTCATTATATAGTTTTAATTATTACGAACGTATATGAAATATATGTCATTAATTAATTGTCTTTTAACTTAGTTTCTTAGTGATGAAGTAACCTAAAATTTGGTGATGGATAAGAAGAATTATATTGAAATTTTTTACATCTATTATACACTACTAAAAAAAAGACATTTGAGAAAAAGTTTTTACATCAGGTATCAAAATATATGATGTAAAAAATACAATTAACAAACTTTTTACATTAGGTATTTATTTACAATGATATAAAAAATATGAAAAAATATATATTTCTCTACCTATTACATCGGGCAAACGAATCCACCGATGTAAAAAAATTTTAGAAAAAAATACGGTGGCATTTTTGTAAATAAAGAAACAAGGTAGTAGAAATATTTATAAAAAACATGCAACATATTACATCGGTTGACTAAACACCGATGTAATATCTTCACAACAGATATTAATATAAAAAAAAAATTAAAGAATAAATTAATTTTTTTGCAACTTATTACATCGGGTATTACAATGCACCGATGTAATAGGTGCATTGTAAAAAAAAAAGCTTGCCAACCCTTACATCGGGTATTACAATACACCGATGTAATAGCTTGCCAACCCTTACATCGGGTATTACAATGCACCAATGTAATAGGTGCCAAACCCTTATTTCCCAAACAGTAGAAAAATTACAACTCCATCGTTATTCTTCCACCACTCCATCTTGAAAAAGCCAACTAGACACACCGGCATACCAGCTAAACGTTGTATCTAAAGCAAATCACCAAACCCATCTCTTATCTCTCACCTCACTCCATTATCTTCCAAACCAATTTCTCCTTTTCATAAACCCTATTCCCAATCTTCTAAACTTCAACTTCAATTTCCCCACTTCTCATTCCTAAAATAAAAACCATACTATTATCATTATTATCCAAAACTCAAAACTGGAGTTCCTTCCCTGAGAAATGCCAAGTGTGGCAGTAAAACTCTACAGCGTATTCTTCAAGTTCCTCTTGAAGCACCGTTTACAAAACCGGATTCAAGCCCAACCCGACAATAACTCCAACTCGTTTGGTATCACTTCACGACCCGAAGAATCCGTCGCTAACTCTAACCCTTCTTTTACCGACGGCGTCGCCACCAAGGATATCCACATCGATCCTTTCACTTCTCTCTCTATCCGAATCTTTCTTCCTCACTCCGCTATTTCTCCTCCCGAGCCTCATTCCAAACCTAACTCCAAACCTAAACAACAAGCTCCCGAACCTGGATCTGTACGGAGAAGTAGCTATGGTCCTCCGTTCAAGGAAGAGCAGCTCCGAGGGAGGAATAGTAACGCTGTTGAGGGTTTGAATTTGATGGGAGCTGGTGTTGAAACCGGTGCCGGTTTGTACCATGGTTACTCGCCGGCGTTGGATAATCGGCGGAGGAAATTACCGGTGATGTTGCAGTTTCATGGTGGGGGGTGGGTCAGTGGTAGTAATGATTCAGTGGCGAACGATTTGTTTTGCCGGCGGATCGCCAAGCTTTTTGATGTGATTGTCGTTGCGGTTGGGTATAGGTTGGCGCCGGAGAGTAGGTATCCGGCTGCGTTTGAGGATGGGTTGAAGGTGTTGAATTGGTTGGCCAAGCAGGCGAATTTGGCCGAGTGTAGTAAATCTATGGGGGTTGGTGGAGGAAGCCATGGTGGTGGTGGTGGTGGGGAGTTTAACAAGGATAATCATAGGCATATTGTTGATTCTTTTGGTGCTTCAGTGGTGGAGCCTTGGTTGGCTAGTCATGGAGATCCAACAAGGTTTTCACTATTTCATTGTTCTATTTCATTTTTTCTATGTTAATTCTCATGAATCATGATTCTTAGCTTGCTTTGTTTGCATTATCTCATTAAGCATTTCAAGATTTAGAATTTAAGATTGAAGAGTAGTCTATTTCTTACTCGTATTGTCAATAGAAAGTTTGTTCTAATTCTGCTAGGCTAAATTGTATATCTGCTATTTGAATTTGACAACATTTTGTACTAAATCGCGTGTCACAAACTTTAGTGGTTTGTTAAGTTCTGATACTCTATACTGCCACTATTTCACAACTTTTTTTTATAATGATGTATGAAGTGCCTAATGTTGATGCTAATATACTAGAGGATCATTCTGATTCTTGTCTTTGGTGTTGGGAGCTGTTGCTTTTTCTAATTATTGGTTGTTAATGTTTGTTTTCAACTGTTTAATTTAATTGTATATTATACTATTTTTCTATCTATAAATACAATAGAAAGCATGACGTTTTACACTCAAGAAGAAAATACACAACACAAACACATTCAAGTGTTCTTCTCTTCCTCTGTATACAATACAAACAATAACGTAGTACTAGTAATGGAAGGAGATAAATGTTGTTCAAGTTTGTTTCAAAGGTGCAAGCCATACATAGCTATGATTTGTCTTCAATTTGGTTTTGCTGGTATCAATATAATAACAAAAGTATCGCTCAACCGAGGAATGAGTCACTATGTTCTTGTTGTTTATAGACATGCTTTTGCTACAACAGCTATTGCTCCATTCACTATAGTTCTTAAGAGGTATTCAACAATCATTCATTTTCTGACTGATTTTTTGTTTGAGAAAACCACTTTCTGATCCTTCCTTCTTTCTTGTCGTTGGCAGGAAGATAAGGCCAAGGATTACGTTTCTTATGTTCATGCAAATGTTTGTATTGGGACTCCTCGGGTTAGTACTTTTCTCGCGGTGTTTTCTGATTGATTTAGATTCTTTGCTGTCAAAATTTCTAAAAAACACTATAGTTAGTTCATCTGAATCGCAACGTTAACTATTCCAAAAATGTTCTTAAATAAGTGTTTTTGTTTTGTTTAGGCCTGTGATTGATCAGAATCTATACTATGCTGGGTTGAAATTCACATCTCCAACATACTCTTGTGCTATTAGTAATATTCTCCCTGCAATGACTTTTGTAATGGCTGTTATTTTTCAGGTATATATATATATATATATATATATATATGATATATGTTACTTTTCTTTTTATATGTTTTTAGTATTAAATTAGTTAACTTGGTGTTATTTTCTTCACTTGTGATAAACTAGGATGGAGAAATTGGACATAAAAAAATTAAGATGCCAAGTAAAAGTGATTGGAACTGTAATCACAGTTGGTGGGGCTATGGTGATGACATTATACAAAGGACAAGTTATGAATATATTGGGTTCTCAATACATGCATCATCCTAGAAACTATGTACCTGAAAACAATAGTGATTCTGGTGAAAAGGATTGGGTTAAAGGTTCAATCCTTCTCATAATTGCTACCTTTGCTTGGTCTTCTTTCTTCATCCTCCAGGTAGTGACATTAAGACAATATTCAGCACAACTTTCACTGACAGACATAGTATGTTTCTTGGGAACACTTCAATCAATAGCAGTTACATTTGTTATGGAGCATAAACCAAATGTTTGGAACATTGGTTTGGACATGAATTTATTAGCTGCAGCCTATGCTGTAAGTTTTTCTCCTAATATCTAGGTATTTTGTTATGTTTATGGAGGATTATAATTAATGGAGCTAAACATTGATGAACAAACAGGGTATAATATCATCAGGTCTTACATATTATGTACAAGGAATTGTGATGCAAAAGAAAGGACCAGTTTTTGTGACTGCTTTTAGTCCTTTGATGATGATCATTGTAGCAATCATGGCCACTTTCATCCTTGCTGAAAAATTTTATCTTGGAGTGTAAGTCCATTATATAAAGTTTTTTATTCTCTATTTTTGGTCTAATTTGTATTTATCTCTATATCGAATTTTTGAAGAAAAAAAGAGACAGATGCCTGAAGAATGCAACCACAATTATAATGTTGGGATGTTGATACATCTGAAACTTTACTATTGCATCACAAGTGGACCACAAATTTAATTAAAACCTTTGTTCAATGCAATGAATTATGAACTAATCAATTTTCAGTGGGAAAGATACTTTACTTTCATGCGGTTTCTTCTCTATACTTTCTATCATTTTCTTATCATAAATCAACAAAAAAAGGAAACATCACAATCATAAGAATAAAAATAAAAACACAAAATGAGAAAGTAGGTAAATAATTTGTTTTCATTATTGATTTATTTATTTAATTTATGATTTTCAGTGTTATTGGAGCAATTTTGATCGTAATAGGACTTTACTCCGTTCTATGGGGCAAAAATAAAGAAAACAAAGAGATTGAAGCGGAAACAAAAACAGAAAGAACGGAGTGTTATGTAAAAATTTGGAGGCTGGTTATGTTAAGGGTAATTGGGTCTTCTTTTAGGATGACTGTACATATCAGTATACTGATTATTTAGTTGTCTACCGAAGATTTTATATTGGTAATTTAAGTTTGGAAACTTATAAATAGTTGAATATTTTTTGTATATTTTGTGAATAATATGGAATTGTAAGTTTTGAAAAAAGACTTATAAATAGTTGAATATTGTTGTATATTTTGCGAAGAATTTGTAATTGTAAGTTTGTTTGTTGTAATACAATACAAGTTTGCAATATAATTGTTCAATTTGTAAGTTTGTTGTGAAAAATCTGAAAACATCGACCTAGATGTGATATATGTGATGTTGGAAAGCTATGAAATCTATATAGCGACATAAATATAGTCTGTGTGATATTGGAAAAATATGAAAAAATGGGTACAAATTATATTTGTACAGGGAAACATCCAGAAAATAAATAATTTATTCCAAAAAAATTTCATACATTTTACATGGGTTATTAGTAAAAACTGATGTAAAAACTTTCAAAAAGGGACTTTTTACATCGGTTGGGGATAATAACATAAGTAAAAAGTCGTGTCACTGGGGACTTTTTACATCGGGTATTACTTCCAACCGATGTAAAAAACTGGATCAATTTTTTAAAAAAATGTGCATAATAACTGTTTCTTACATCGGTTCATATATTATAACCGATGTAAAAAAGGGACTTTTTACATCGGGTATTACTTCCAACCGATGTAAAAAACTGGATAAATTTTTTAAAAAATGTGCATAATAACAGGTTATTACATCAGTTCTGATATTATAACCGATGTAAAAAAGGGACTTTTTACATCGGTCCCAGAACCGATGTAAAAAGTCCCTGATTTACTATATCGCCTGACTTTACATCGGACCCAGAACCGATGTAAAAAGTCAATTTCACCCGATGTAAAAAGTCATTTCTACACTAGTGATACCATAATACAATGTGAATATGGTGAATAAATTTACTATCTAACCTCATTATATAGTTTTATTTATTACGAACGTATATGAAATATATGTCATTAACTATAGTCTTTTAACTTAGTTTCTTAGTGCTGAAGTAACCTAAAATTTGGTGATGGATAAGAAGAATAATATTAAAATTGTTTACATCTATTATACCATAATACAATGTGAATATGGTGAATAAATTTACTATCTAAGCTCAATATATAGTTTTAATTATTACGAACGTATATGAAATATATGTCATTAACTAATAGTCTTTTAACTTGTTTCCTAGTGATGAAGTAAACTAAAATTTGGTGATGGATAAGAAGAAGAATATTGAAATTGTTTACATCTATTATACCATAATACCATGTGAATATGGTGAATAAATTAACTATCTAACCTCATTATATAGTTTTAATTATTATGAACGTATAGGAAATATAAGTCATAAATTAATAGTCTTTTAACTTAGTTTCTTTGTGATGAAGTAACCTAAAATTTGGTGATGGATAAGAAGAATAATATTGAAAATGTTTACATCTATTATACCATAATACAATGTGAATATTGTGAATAAATATACTTTCTAGCCTCATTATATAATTTTAATTATTACGAACGTATATGAAATATATGTCATTAATTAATTGTCTTTTAACTTAGTTTCTTAGTGATGAAGTAACCTAAAATTCGGTGATGGATAAGAAGAATAATGTTGAAATTGTTTACATCTATTATACCATAATACAATGTGAATATGGTGAATAAATTTACTATCTAACCTCATTATATAGTTTTATTTATTACGAACGTATATGAAATATATGTCATTAACTATAGTCTTTTAACTTAGTTTCTTAGTGATGAAGTAACCTAAAATTTGGTGATGGATAAGAAGAATAATATTGAAATTGTTTACATCTACTATACCATATTGCAGTGTGAATACGGTGAATAAATATACTATCGGACCTCAATATATAGTTTTAATTATTACGAACGTATGTGAAATATATGTCGTTAACTAATAGTCTTTTAACTTAGTTTCTTAGTGATGAAGTAACCTAAAATTTGGTGATGAATAAGAAGAATAATATTGAAATTGTTTACATCTATTATACCATTATACAATGTGAATATGGTGAATAAATATACTTTCTAGCCTCATTATATAGTTTTAATTATTACGAACGTATATGAAATATAAGTCATAAATTAATAGTCTTTTAACTTAGTTTCTTAGTGATGAAGTAACCTAAAATTTGGTGATGGATAAGAAGAATAATATTGAAATTGTTTATATCTATTATACCATAATACAATGTGAATATGGTGAATAAATATACTATTTAGCCTCATTATATAGTTTTAATTATTACGAACGTATATGAAATATATGTTATTAATTAATAGTCTTTTAACTTAGTTTGTTAGTGATGAAGTAACCCAAAATTTGGTGATGGATAAGAAGAATAATATTGAAATTGTTTACATCTATTATACCATAATGCAATGTGAATATGGTGAATAAATAAACTATCTAACCTCAATATATAGTTTTAATTATTACGAACGTATGTGAAATATAAGTCGTTAACTAATAGTCTTTTAACTTAGTTTCTTAGTAATAAAGTAACCTAAAATTTGGTGATGGATAAGAAGAATAATATTGAAATTGTTTACATCTATTATACCATAATTCAATGTGAATATGGTGAATAAATATACTTTCTAGCTTCATTATATAGTTTTATTTATTACGAACGTATATGAAATATAAGTCATAAATTAATAGTCTTTTAACTTAGTTTCTTAGTGATGAAGTAACCTAAAATTTGGTGATGGATAAGAAGAATAATATTGAAATTGTTTACATCTATTATACCATAATACAATGTGAATATGGTGAATAAATATACTTTCTAGCCTCATTATATAGTTTTAATTATTACGAACGTATATGAAATATATGTCATTAATTAATTGTCTTTTAACTTAGTTTCTTAGTGATGAAGTAACCTAAAATTTGGTGATGGATAAGAAGAATAATATTGAAATTGTTTACATCTATTATACCATAATACAATGTGAATATGGTGAATAAATTTACTATCTAACCTCATTATATAGTTTTATTTATTACGAACGTATATGAAATATATGTCATTAACTATAGTCTTTTAACTTAGTTTCTTAGTGATGAAGTAACCTAAAATTTGGTGATGGATAAGAAGAATAATATTAAAATTGTTTACATCTATTATACCATAATACAATGTGAATATGGTGAATAAATTTACTATCTAACCTCAATATATAGTTTTAATTATTACGAACGTATATGAAATATATGTCATTAACTAATAGTCTTTTAACTTGTTTCTTAGTGATGAAGTAAACTAAAATTTGGTGATGGATAAGAAGAATAATATTGAAATTGTTTACATCTATTATACCATAATACCATGTGAATATGGTGAATAAATTTACTATCTAACCTCATTATATAGTTTTAATTATTATGAACGTATAGGAAATATAAGTCATAAATTAATAGTCTTTTGACTTAGTTTCTTAGTGATGAAGTAACCTAAAATTTGGTGATGGATAAGAAGAATAATATTGAAATTGTTTACATCTATTATACCATAATACAATGTGAATATGGTGAATAAATATACTTTCTAGCCTCATTATATAGTTTTAATTATTATGAACGTATATGAAATATATCTCATTAATTAATTGTCTTTTAACTTAGTTTCTTAGTGATGAAGTAACCTAAAATTTGGTGATGGATAAGAAGAATAATATTGAAATTGTTTACATCTATTATACCATAATACAATGTGAATATGGTGAATAAATTTACTATCTAACCTCATTATATAGTTTTATTTATTACGAACGTATATGAAATATATGTCATTAACTATAGTCTTTTAACTTAGTTTCTTAGTGATAAAGTAACCTAAAATTTGGTGATGGATAAGAAGAATAATATTAAAATTGTTTACATCTATTACACCATAATACAATGTGAATATGGTGAATAAATTTACTATCTAACCTCAATATATAGTTTCAATTATTACGAACGTATATGAAATATATGTCATTAACTAATAGTCTTTTAACTTGTTTCTTAGTGATGAAGTAAACTAAAATATGGTGATGGATAAGAAAAATAATATCGAAATTGTTTACATCTATTATACCATAATACCATGTGAATAAATTTACTATCTAACCTCATTATATAGTTTTAATTATTATGAACGTATAGGAAATATAAGTCATAAATTAATAGTCTTTTGACTTAGTTTCTTTGTGATGAAGTAACCTAAAATTTGGTGATGGATAAGAAGAATAATATTGAAATTGTTTACATCTATTATACCATAATACAATGTGAATATGGTGAATAAATATACTTTCTAGCCTCATTATATAGTTTTAATTATTACGAACGTATATGAAATATAAGTCATAAATTAATAGTCTTTTAACTTAGTTTCTTAGTGATGAAGTAACCTAAAATTTGGTGATGGATAAGAAGAATAATATTGAAATTGTTTACATCTATTATACCATAATACAATGTGAATATGGTGAATAAATTTACTATCTAACCTCATTATATAGTTTTATTTATTACGAACGTATATGAAATATATGTCATTAACTATAGTCTTTTAACTTAGTTTCTTAGTGATAAAGTAACCTAAAATTTGGTGATGGATAAGAAGAATAATATTAAAATTGTTTACATCTATTATACCATAATACAATGTGAATATGGTGAATAAATTTACTATCTAACCTCAATATATAGTTTCAATTATTACGAACGTATATGAAATATATGTCATTAACTAATAGTCTTTTAACTTGTTTCTTAGTGATGAAGTAAACTAAAATATGGTGATGGATAAGAAAAATAATATTGAAATTGTTTACATCTATTATACCATAATACCATGTGAATAAATTTACTATCTAACCTCATTATATAGTTTTAATTATTATGAACATATAGGAAATATCAGTCATAAATTAATAGTCTTTTAACTTAGTTTCTTTGTGATGAAGTA